TGGTAGTGGGGTGTAGAGATTGAATCGGGTGGGGGTAGAGAACAAGAAAATTGAAAATGTAAAGTGTTACAATTGAGAAGACAAAATAATACTAATGAAGAGACAGAAGAAAAGATTAGGTAGAATTTACATGTCGGCTAATAGGATAGATTACGTCCATTGCTTGCAGATTTCTTCATGGCAAAACTCGAAAACACATGCCTGAAGAAAATGATCAACACCTTCGAAATCTATAAAAGATACGTCGACGACACCTTCATTATCGTCAACAACGAAGAAAATCTAGACGACATCTTAAAGTCGTTTAACAACTGCCACCCTGCAATTTAGTTCACGATGGAGAAAGAGTCCAACTTCACGATTTCCTTTCTTGACGTCCAACTAACCAGAAGAGAACAGGATGGAACACTGAGAAGATCTATCCACAGAAAATCGACGTGGAACGGAAAGCTTACTAACTTTCACAGTTGGGTACCACTATACACCAAACGAAACCTGATCCGTTCACTCAGCTACAGAGTTGGCAGAATTTGCACCCCGGACACCATAGAAAATGAGCTGGACAACCTCAAGAGAATCCTCGTCGAGAATTGCTATCCAGAAAGATTGATTGCAAAATCTATGAATCCTAGACCAGAAAAGCCGCCCATACTCAGCGTCAAGAAAAAACTACTCTACATGAACCTCCAATTCAATGGAGATCTATCTGCGGGAACACTAAAAAATCGACTGTCGCGCTCACTTAAGAAGACCTTCTTCGCAGCTGAACTACGACTAACCTTCTCCACAAAACCTATGATTCATGTGAACGTGAAGGATAAGCTACCGCTGCTGGCCTCATCAATGTGCATTTATCAATTCACCTGCTCGTGTGGAGCCAGGTATGTCGGCCGTACCCAGCGCTCGCTTTCCAAACGTATCACCGAGCCTTACCAGCATGGTTTTACAAAGGAGAAAATCGATGCCCCCGCAGTTCCATCTTAGAACATCTGATAGAATCCGGACACCAAGCTACACCGCAAACAAACTTCAAAGACGTCTACAGAGTAAGAAGTAGTCTCCCTAAAGGTGTACGAATCAGACTTCTTCAAACTGCAGAAGCAATGGCAATTCACTTGCTAAGTCCTGAACTCTGCATACAGAAGAAGTTCGTTCAATCACTACACTTGCAATGGACGTAATCTATCCTATTAGCCGACATGTAAATTCTACCTAATCTTTTCTTCTGTCTCTTCATTAGTATTATTTTGTCTTCTCAATTGTAACACTTTACATTTTCAATTTTCTTGTTCTCTACCCCCACCCGATTCAATCTCTACACCCCACTACCACTGTTACTGACTTGAACAACGCTCAGTTTCTAGTCATTCATGTTACGTCATCCAACTTATTCACTCAATTTCACTTCTACTTAATCTCTACCTGTAATTACTTCTGTTGCTATCCTGACCTAAGTTGTAACATTTTAGCCAATTATATTACGTCATCTAGTTTTTTAACTCAGTCTTACTTTAGTTGCTGTCTGATTAACTTTGTCTCTATACTACATCATTCTTGTATTAACTAATCAATTATCTAAACTTGACAAACCTCATGTACACACACACACACACAAATATTTATATATAAATGCGATTGTACAGCTATGTGAATGAATTCGCCGAAAAGAGTCTCTTCGCTGAATGTCTTCTCTTTTTCATACATCATTAAAATTTTCGTTAGAGGTAATTTAGACTTTGCGAAAAAAGTACCTAAGGAATCTGTAAATTAAAAAAGAACGACATACCTTCTCGAACTGATTTTCTGGTTCGGCACTCATTGCACCTGTAAACAAACCCATCGATGCACCTAGTGTATCTTTGCATATGCATGACACCTCCACATTGACAATTTTTTTGACCTTCCTATCAGTTCGTTCTCCAAACAGTAATCAAAAACAAGATCTGGAGCGAATTTGCAACGCAAAAGGTGTACAGCATCCATAAGTGCGCCTGGATAATACAGAGTCACCTGATTGGTTGCTCAAGGTCATTTGTCCGTTAGCTAGGTAGTTTCGGTTTGGGCTGCTATAGTTTAGAGTTAACTTGTCTACGTACACCATCTTTGGAATTATGTTGCCTGTATGCTCTATCTATAAATTGAAGTTATTGTAAAGGGTATGTTCAGACGCTATTCTGTAACCTATAACTGATTTTGTTTAGTGCGTATGCAGTTGAAGAGAATCCGGGGAATAAAACGAGCTCGTATTATACAATCTGCAAATTTATTCGCTATTTCTTTATCCAAATCTCACAGTAGTTGGTTTCGAACTACTTATACGAATTAGTAGTATATACTATCATAGGATGATTTATGTTTGATGTCACACAAAATAGAAGACTTACAAGCGAAAACCGACAAACTGGTCGAAGAAGCAGCAAAGACAGGATTCCAGGTGAACATAGACAAGACGGAGGTTATGAAAATAGCCAACCAACCAACAACAACAACAGCAGCAACATCCACCGCCAATCACCTTCGACGGGAAGGATTTGAAAGAGGTTACTTCATTCACTCACTTATCTACGGAGCATTGTCTCAACTACAGGCAGGTGGAACGGACGAGGATGTCAAATCGAGAATCGGGAAGGCGAGAAACACATTCATCAACCTGAAACCAATCTGGAAATATTCGTCACTCAACTCAGCATCAACAACAAAATTCGGATTTTCAATACAAACGTCAAGTCAGTCAGTTCTTCTATATGGATGGATCAGGAACTTGGCGGGTCACAAAGAATATTTCCAACAGCCTGTTGCAGACCTTTATAAACAACTGTCTTCGTTCTATACTCAAGATCAGATGGTCGGAAAGAACAAGAACCAACAAGAAACTATGGGAAGAAACAAAACAAGAACCAGTGGCCCAACAAATATGCAGGAGAAAGTGGAGATGGATTGGACAGTCACTCGCTGAGGAGGCCGCTGGGTGACATCGCGAGTCAAGCCCTCGAGTGGAACCCGAAAGGGAAGCGGCGAGTGGGACGTTGAAGGGTGACACGGAGGAGATCGCGTGAAGAGCAGTTGAAACAGTGTGGACTAACATGGATGGAGGTGAAAAGTACAGCAGAAGACAGAAGCAAGTGGAGACGTGCAGTTGAAGCCCTATGTTCCACTAAGAACCCAAGGGAAGAATAATAGTATGCTATAATAGGATTATGTCCACTTTTCGAAATTTCATTTGTAGTAACAAGTAACTCATGAAAATTCTAGAAGTCGACAGTTGATCATCAAAAGTTTTTATCTTCAGTATTTTTTTGTTTTCTGAAGCCAATCATTGTGTATTCACACATCGAACTGTGTATTTATTTAGTAAACAATGAGTTCGATTCTCGCTTTAGTTAGACCTAAGTTATCCCAGACAGATTTAGCATCCACTCTACTGCGAGTACTACTTCTATTTTGTGAAGGTTCATGGTACTACCCAGTGGTCCAGACCTAAAAGGAGGTGGAGATGGATTCAGACGTGGCACCCATCGGCAGAAGGGGGAAGACTTCACCAAAATGGATAACATGTCTATTCAACCTAATCACAACTACTGTTATTGATCTGAAAGTATATTAAAAAGAAGCCTGTGATCCTGCATGAATCAAATCAATTGATAATTAAGGCGTCTATTACACTAAAAATTCAACAGTGTGACCCATTAATTCCGATCTAAATATGGTAGAGAAGATTTGTACCTCAGGTGGATAATTTGATGTGGTTGTGTTCTCTGAGCTGGATAGTTAATTTGCGAAGCTTTCATCACTCTACTAGGTGACATCTTCAGCGCATACTTCAATTTGAAAGCGAGCTATTAGATTTCTCCACGAGTTTAATAATCATCTCTCACCAGGAGAGACGAGTCACACATATTGTATAAAGGCTAGCAGAACAACCTAGCTTACTTCCTATAGCCCAACATGTGAGAAGTTCGAACCCATGCCTCGAAGTCGAGCGCTTACACGAATATGCCACAGCTACACGCATACACATGCTATTGAGGTGTAAGGTATCCAAAATAATATGTAGCGATACTTGAAAGGTCCTAAGGATGATATTCAAAGTACTTCTTTGAATTCATTTGCGTTCCTAACCGTCCTTTTTTTCCTGGCTTATTATCCCATCATACACTAGGCGAGATTTAGGAGTGCGTCCCACCGGGTATCGAACCCCAATGACGTGTGAGATTGGTTAGAATTCTACCACTGAAAGATCATGCACATTAATTATTCCAGAAATTACCAAATAAATACACTTTAAACTTTTCACGAGCATACGAGGTAGATCCTACCAGTTTAACTTCAATCATTACTAGGTACTATTTTATTCCTCTTCCCCCACGTTTTTATATTTATATAATCGTTACGTCATAAATCTCCCGAAGTTACAGCTTATGGTTAACTAGAATCCAAATGGTTGACATGGTGGATGGTAGCATGTTTAAACCTCTCTCGAAGCAACGAATACCCTCCATCAACCAATATAAAACTCTGGCAAAACAACTGTCGAATACTGTTCGGTTTGTAGTTGTTCTCTAGCTACTATGAGCTGGTAAACAAAAGTCACCCTCTACAGTTGGTTAACGGCTGCTAGCAGTATAATCTTAAGACGCATGTTTCGTTCTCCTTTGGACTCATCTACAGGATGTACGTATATACCCATTTGTTAACGTTTTTTGTACTGATAGTCAAACCACACTAAGATATTTGAAAATGATGGGTAGTCGTTTCGAGTCTTAATGGGAATACCATCTCTCACCGGGGGATGCGCAGCTACACAAAGCTGTCAAGTCCCGACTGGAAAGAAATGTGAGCCCTGGATCCCACCACGACTCAAGACTATAAGCGTTTGTAGCAGTAACAAATACCTCGTAGATTATTTTGGAAAAAAGACTTACGAACAGTTACAAAGTAGAAAACAAAATCATTTTTATTTATTCAATCAAATAGTAATAATCAAAGTCAGAAAAATTTCTTCACACTCATCATCATTATTTTATGCAAAAAATTGTATGAAACAAATGTTTATAGAAAAGCAAATTGTATCATAGATTTCATTATCCAGTTCATCACAATGTAACACAAGTGAAAAAAACTTAATTTTGGCGGCAAAGCGTCCAATCGTTTAAACAAAAGTTCAGTTGATGACCTTGACATATGAATTAAGCGCTTATTTTGAAAAAAGGCTAAATTAACAAATTCCTGCTATAAAGTTTTTATCCCTTATAAATATATGGATATAATTTTTTCTTTGTTCTTATTATAACAAAAGAAATGAGAGTTATTCACAAAGAATAAATAATTGACAAAGAAAAACAAAAGGAAAAGGAAGAATCTGTTGACTTTACAAGGATCCCATCAACTGCTACTACGTCTGCCACCATTACAACTATTATTAATATCATCAATACTAATGATGACAACTTGATCACATGATCACAAAACGAAATTATGTTCGTAAATAAATATTTTCTTTGTGTGTATATGTTGGTGTGCAGATGAAAGTGTAGAAAGATTGAATGAATGTTTGTTTATGAGTTATATATGCATATATATTAGCAAATGACAGATGAAGGAAGAGAACGAGGTAGAGGAAGGCAGAAAAATTGAAGAAATTAACTGCAGATTCATGAACGAATAAGCAGTCAGATTTCCAACATAATCTCAAATATAGAATAAATATACAAGGATGAAATATAGGACAAAGGCATATATATATATCAGCTACAAATCAATTCTTGTAATCTATAGAGAGAAAAACAAAACAACAGTTCAAATATCCAACGGATATGAATCGATCCGAGCACGTATTTCATCTAGAGTATAATCTTTCAATAGGACACCATTTTTAAATACTGGGATCAGTATATCCTATAGCGTTATTGTTGGTGTTGTTGTTAGGAGAAAATGGAATCAAAAGAAAAACAAAGAGAATTTTTAGTCATAATTGCAAAACATTGAACAAACAAGAGATTTTTTTGAAAGACAACAGATGATACGCGAAAAAATAAAGCAAATAAAACTGAAAAAGCCAAGTGAGTGGTAGAATGCTCACCAACCAACAACGCCTAATAAGGTCCTGAGTTCGAACCCCAACCGGTGTTGCACATCTTCACCTCGCCTACTTTACTAACCATTAACAAGTCTTCCCTCTCGAGTGTAATCCTAATGGGAAACGACGAGTGGGTCGTTGGGTGACATGGAGGAGATCGTGTGAGTTGGAAGAGATGAGGTAGTTTGGTCAATCGTGCACCTAGCCAGCTGAAGAGGACGGCAGAAAACAGAACAAGGTGGAGGTGTGTTGTTGAAGCCAGCCCTATGTTCCATTAGGAACGCAAGGGAATAATAAAAGTAATAATAACAACAAGTCTGCAGAAAGCTTCGAAGCCCGAAGCTGAAAACATCACAGTAATGATATCGGGACCACATGATTGAAAGTCGCGTGATGTTTGCACAAATCCAACTTCTATGCATGCGATTTTAAAAAGATTGTTGAATTTTGTGAGCTAGAGGTGTTGTTCAATAGCGAAGTTTTCACTGTCCTACTGTGGAGCCCTGGACTTTTAACCATAAGAGTTAGAAGTTCGGGATCCGCTCCACCACCCGAGGTTTCGGCAGCCCCCCCACCCCACACAATAAACGTAGCTCATTACCAACTACATACAAAGACAACTGATTGTTGAGTAACATCACCGTATCTTATTGAATGATATTTTCAGTGCTAGTTTCAATGGAAAGTGAGATTTACGAATTAACCAGGCATGACAACCGCTATTTACTTGCATATTAGTTTGTTCATTAGATGTATCACACAGTCAGTGAAACAGTATTATTTACTGGATGACAAAGTTTCGAACACAATCTATTATTGTTCATAATCATATCAATTATAATCACATGACTTCGAAACTTGAGTTTTATAGTTTTCTTTGTCCTCTCCTATTTCTCGTAGGGGTAGAAGAATTTTCCAGATATCTGGGACAGGTATTGAATCTCTCTACCCTACTACATTAAATTTTAAAACTGTAATCCTATCCCATCCTATTGTGTGGTTGTGCGTGACTTCATGTAGTACTATAGCTGAACTATTCTCTAGATTTCTTATCTTATTCGGGTCAACCAATCTAGATTTTGCTAGGTTTTTATGTTCAGCTAGTCTGATTGCCCCTGTCCTACTAGTTTGACCTTTGTATTTAAACTGACAATCAGTATACGGTATTAGATAAACTAGATTGTTTTGTTTTAAAGGCTACACAGGATTGATCATTCAACCGACAAAGCTTGTTTCTAATTGAGTTTGTGGGTTTGAATGCCGTTTTTATTCCTGCCTTGTTGAGAATTCTGCGTAAGGCTTCCGAGGTTTCTTCCTTGTATGGAATTACTACTGATGATTTAGATTTCTTATTTTGGTGTTGTCATTATCTTGCGCATGTTTGACACGCATGTCATCATTAATATTACTATTACTATTGCAATTATTATTATCATTATTCTTATTATTACTATCACTACTATCATTATTTATTTTATTTTTACATTTCCCTATATATTTCCTGACTAATTATATCAGGGTAATTATTAAGTTTCAAGGCATCTCTTATATGTCTCACTTCCTGTCTTAGATTTTCCTTGGCACTACTTAGTTTTTGTGCTCTGTCACTTAAACATTTCACCAATCCTATGTCAGTAAAAATGGGTTGACCCGAATAAGATAAGAAATCTAGAGAATAGTTCAGCTATAGCACTCACCACATGCAATTACACACAACCATACAATAGGATGGATGGGATAGGATGACAGTTTTAAAATCTAATGTAGCAACAGGGTGGAGGGAGAGATTGATAACAAAAGCTTTGTTTATCGAATCAACTGCAAATACATGTAATGGGAATGATTCAACACCTGTCCAGTCGGATATCTGGAAAATCCTACTACCACGCCTACGACGACAAATAGGAGAGAACAAAGAAAACTATGAAACTCAAGTTTCAAATTCGTGTGATTATAATTGATGACATGATTATGAACAATAATAGATTGTGGTCGAAACTCTGTCATCCAGTAAGTAATACTGTTTCACTCACTATGTGATACATCTAATGAGCAAGCTAATACGGAATTACTTACTACCATAGTGCCCAAGTTTTACACATATATGAAAACCGACATTTACGTATTATTGATTCATGCGACAGCTGAATATTACCCATGGTGACTTCGTTTAAATTATGACCTGGTTGGCAGATTGTTGGATTACTTAATTTGAAGACAACCTGTAGACTTGGACTTCAGAACCTCCTCTAAAAAATTAAAAAAAATCAATTTAGCACTAACCTTCGATTCAGAGCCACAACCTTCTTCTACAGTGATAAGCGTTCCAGTTATTGGACATTTTTCTAATGTAAGCCGACCCTTCTTAGAATTTTTCTGTGGATCTGTAATTGGATGTTTAGATACTTGAATCTATAAAAGTAGAAGAGAGTGAAGGTAATGGAAACGAAAATGTATAACATATTACACAACATTACCTCATGACCGTTGACTACAGCAAAGCTACACTTGAATGCACATTTCTGTGTATCACGATTTAATCGTTGTAGTAAAGCGCCACCACTGCCAAAACTAACATTCTCTGTACTCCATCCAGAGGTTTTTACTTCATTTAAAATAGGATCTAGAAGATGAAAGAAGAAAATGACAAAAGTAAAAGATATTATCAAAGTAATCACATGTGATTTAAGAAACAAGGTTTATTTTGAAATGTTTCAAAGGCCTTTGACGTTTGTGTAGACAGGTGGCGAACTGACTAAGAACCTATTGCTCAAAAAAACTATGCCAAGGAAAATAGAGATGGACAGATCGGGTATACGCTGAGGAGACCGGTGAGTGACATCACACATCAGACAAACCCTCGAGCGGAAGCCGAAAGAGGAACAACGAGTTGGCCATCGATATAAGGGCGACATGGAAGAGGTCGTGGGAGGGGGAGGAGGATATGATAGTTTATGGGTAACTGTGCAGCTATACAAAGAGCAAAATGGAAATGCACTACCGAAAGAAACAAGGTTTATGTTGAAAGGTTTCAAAGGCCTTTGACGTTTGTGTAAACGCAATGTATGCTAAAACCAGTGTAAAATCGGGGGGAATTTAGTAAAGATAGCGGGGAAAGAACTTCATGTGAACGTAGAGAAAAGACAGAGGCGATGAACATACTATCGCTAACAAATAATAGACACCAATCGCCATCAACAGGAAAGAAGAAAAGAGTTTATCTCACCTATAGATGACACAAATGGGGATATCAAAGTTAGTATTGATCGCATAAGAAAAGCAAACCAGGCCTTTATTAATATCAAATCGATATGCGGATGCACAGAAGCCTTTAGCACAAGAAACACTACCACAATACCACAAACTTGAACTGCTACACTTCTGAGATAAGTTCAATATTCAAATTCACTCAGTGATGCAAGTGACTGACCGACTGACTGGTTCCAACATAAAACTGCTTTGTACATATATACACTACTTCAGGTCGCCACACTCCCTCCATGAAGCAAAAGAAGAAAGGCAAGAGAGAAAATACAAAAAAGAGACTCCAAATAACACGAAGAAGAAGAAGAAATGTACACGAGAAAGACCAGTAGCACGGAGAAACAATAGACTTTTATTGGTTGATGACAAGTCACAAAGAGTGAATGCATCTGCACCAGCCATTGACAACAAGGATTTCGAGCCATTGTCTCTAGTCACCATTGCTTCTTACCATCCCGAGGACTCCAACCACCCAGACAAGCAGTGTACACCTCCCTACGTGACTGGTTAGCTCAAGCTAACCATCATGGATTTCATTGACTGATGAAGCAATGTTCTAGTCCGACCACCACTAGGTCTTCTCTAGCCTTATCGATCCTATGTCAACGAACACTGCTCGTCGACGAAGGCGACGACTAGGGATGCGTAAAAACAACACAAAATCCTATCAATCTCAACTGATGCAGCTGCTTCACAACCTCGTCCATTGATTCCCCCTCCTCCTCCTCCTTACCTAGCACTCGACCGATGCCTCACCTCTCAATATTACTCACCCTATTATGCCACCTAAAATAGCATAGGAGAGAACACAGACACCTATGACGAAAAACAGCTGGCCAACTCTTTCATGTCTTCCACTTTCAATTACCATATCTCACAGACATAGAAAAACGACGGGGCGAATTGCTGCCCAGCCAGAAATGGTGTTAGTTGGCAAGTCCCACACGCTAAGATTTCGTCAACAATCAGCCCGCTGGAACTGTCGCAACTTCTCAAATAAGTGAAGTAGTCCATAAGTTACTGCAATCACTCAGTAGAATCAATTCTATTAGTACATCTATGATGAAAGTAAATAGAAACAGAGAGACTGGGCATACCTGAGGCATACCACTGGTTGTCATCAATTCAGATGACAACTCTCCATAAGCTCTTACATATCTGCGCATCAGTTCGAGTAGAGTGCCTTTGATTAGCGCGATTTACTTTCCCGAGACTCTCATCACGAGTATACATTACCAAAGGTATCTCTTGGTCAGTGGAGTTGAATGCTCAAACGAATACACATGAGATTAATCAAATGCTGATAAACCCAACCTACTTAAAATTTTTTTTTAAAAACCACTATAACTATAACAAGTCAGCAGCATAGAAGGAAGTACTTTAAAGAAACAAAAACAACCGTAAGTTTGCACCAGTAATTCATGTTTTTTCTCTCGTCAAATTCACCTTAACACTAACTGTGTTTTACATGCTGAGAATTACTGTGCGTGTGAGTGAGTGAAAGAAAATGTTGTAAAACCACAAAATTTTACGTGTAAAACAGTTATCTATTAAATTGATTTGACGTATTAAAAATAGATAAGCTTAACACACACACACACCTGTGTACTAACTAAACTGTTTAAGGTTAATAATTGTATTGGCTGGCTGGCTTAGCAACAAAACAGTGCATGTGCAACATGTGATTACGTATGATCAAATTTTCAGCTTATAATAGTACATTGAGAATGCGTGAAATGTATATATGTGTACTAATTTAAAATGAGCAAGGTTTCAATCATTCATGGCGTAGATTATTATTATTATTGTTTCCTTTAATTCCTAGAGGAACATAGGGCTTCAACCGTGCGTCTCCATTGCGTTCGGTTCTCTGCTAAAGTTTTAACCTACCTCCAAGTCTTCCCACACGTTTTCATCTCCTCTTCACATGACCTCCTCCAAGTCAACCACCCTCGCACTGACGACCAACTCGCCGCTTCCCTTTCGGGTTCTACTCGAGCAATGGCTTGTCTAGTGATGTCACTTGATGGTTTCCTCAGAGTATGGCCAGTCAATCCATCTCCATTTCTTCCTGTTTATTTGTTTCACAAACGGTTCCTGCTGAGTTGGTTCGCTCATTGCCAGAGATCTCTGTTGCTGATCTTTTCTGACTGGCCATCTGATCTTGAGTATTGAGCGAAGACAACTGTTAATGAAGGTGTGTAGTTTGTTTGAGATGCTCTTTATGATGCGTAGTGCAAGTCTCTGATCCGTATAGTGAGTAGCACTGACTTCACATTGGAGTTGAAAATCCGGATCTTATTTCTGATGCTGAGTGCTGTTGACCTCCACACAGACTTGAGAGTCGTGAAAGCTTGTTTTGCTTTCCTTATCCTCGCTGCTTTGATATCCTCGTCAGTTCCGCCTGTAGTTGAAACGATGCTTCCCAGGTCGGTTGGTGAAGGAGGTAGTTTCTTTCAGGTTCCTCCCATTTATGCTGATTGTTGTCTGTTGTTGTTGTTCTTGTCCAGGAATCTTCATCACCTCTGTTTTCTCTATGTTCACCTGGAGTCCTATCTTCACCGGATGCTTCTTCTGCTAACTTGTTGCTTTTCGCTTTCATATCTTCCAGTTTGTGGGAAATCAGACATATATCACCGGCGAAGTCCAGATCCTCCAAGTTTTTTGTGTGAGTTCATTTTATGCCAGTTTCCTCATTGCCCGCTGTTTTTCGCATCATCCAATCTACTGCAATCAGGAAAATCATTGGTGATAGTAGGCAGCCAGCTTGTCTTACTCCTGTCCTCACTTCGAAGGATTCCGTAAGTTTCCCGTTGTGGATTACTTGACATGCAGCATTGTCGTACAGCTGTTGGATGAGATGTATAATTGTCAGTGGCAACCCGTAGTAGAGAAGTAGTTGCCAAATTCATCGTGTTGAAGTTTCTGTAGCAACTTTGTTTACAGGGTGGGGTTGCTAGCCTCACACCTGAGAAGGGGATTGTTACATTAAAATATAGTTTAGAGAGAAGTGACCTTGTGGGTTGCATAGAATGCCTTCAAAAAGCAGAGGATGAGTAAAACAATCTCTGAATAAAAATGGCACCGTAATTAGCCCTCAGGATAGACTACTGGAACGTTGGAAAGAACACTTTGAGGAGCAATTTAATTGGCCTATAGCCACGCTCAAGTTTCCAAACACTTAACACCTCCCTGAATTGGATATAGACACAGGTCCTCCGTCCCTTAAATGAGGTTACTAAGGCTGTCACTAGTCTGAAACGAGGCAAAGCAACGGGACCTGATGGAATGACTCCAGAGGTATTTAAGTACGGTGGAGGCAGTTTACTGTCTGCGTTAACTAAGGTACTAGGCAGCGTCTGGGAATCAAAGGAAGTCCCGTCGGGTTGGTGTAAGTCATTGATTATCCCCATATACAAGAAGGGAGACAAGTCTTCTTGTGATAATCACAGGGGGATTAGCTTGACTAATATGGTATCTAAAGTTCTAGGCTCAATAATCATGCGTAGACTAAGTGGTGCTCGGGAGGAACAAACACGAGAGAACCAGGCAGGCTTTAGACCAGGAAGAGGGTTATTGATCATATCTTCACCCTTTGACAGATTCTGGAACATAGGCATACTTACCGGCGTCCAACAATCGTCATATTTCTTGAACTGGAAGCGGCATTCGATTCTGTCGGTCGAGAGGTATTCTGGCGATGTTTGGCTGTAAAAGGAATGCCGAGAAAATACATCGCACTGATCAAGGCACTTTACTCGAACTCATTCAGCCACGCAGGTGACAGCCTAAAGAGAGTTGTCATCTGAAGTGGTGACAACCAGTGGTAATCCGTCAGGGATGCCCACTGTCCCCATTTCTGTCTAATTTCATTATAGATGTACTAATGGACTTAGCCCTAAGTGACTTCAGCGACTCAGGGATTGACTTGCTACCAGGAAATAATCTCGGTGACTTAGAACAAGCACATGATATAGTCCTTCCAGGTGAAGACAGTGACAAAATCCAGCTGAGTCTTCTGAACACTTTGAGGAGCAGCAATCATCGAATGTTTGCCACACGATTCGCTTTCGTTAAATGTTACATGATGCTACAGGACTGGACTGGACTGCGTTGACTCCTAGTTTAGAAACAGAAAGTGAAGCGGTAGAGCATGATGACCACTTCACTTATTTGGGAGGTTGCATCAGTCAGCTCCAGTAGGTTGATCGCCGACCAAATCTCATCACAGATACAAAAGTCTCATGTGGCGTAGACATGATATCCGGCTGGCTATTGATCAAATGACGTGTGTACTGTTCAGCAGTTTGCTCTATCTTTCCAAATGGCTTTGAGACATGACCAATGAAAGTAGAAGAC